CACATTTGCTTATTCACCTGCTTTGTCTTCAGCAGTTGTGTCGGGAAGGTGAGCATCATAGAATGCCAATTTAATAGAAGAAAGAATTCTTGCATTGAGGGAGTACTTGAGTGGAGGCCCAGGGACTATTCTTACTGAGGAAACCATGTGGTTTCCTTACTACACTTTGGTATAGCAGGAAAAAAAAGTGATCTCTTCATGAGGGTATGTATCAAGGAGAGTCATGTCATAAGAACTAATTGTTGACTAACTGACTTTAGATACAAACCATACCTGTTTTGATTTACCTAAGAAATTGACTTAACAACCTATATAGGAATGAAATTCCTTCTGAATCTGGGGACTGCCTGCATGTGCACTGCTCCTTGTGTACCATGCATATTCTGTGAAATAGGACATTATGCGATTTGGATATTGTGCAAACTCATATTAAAACTTGATGGAAACCTTCTTCCAGTTGTCCTGTGGCCTCTGCTACTGCTATTGTTGGTAGAGGCTGGGTGAAGTAGGGAGGTGGTGGAAGTAGCTTCCAGAGACCAGAGCAGGGAAAGTGTGCTTGGACAGGAAGTGTGCTTGCTGGGTCCAGACACCGTTCTACCAGCCCAAGCAGCAGGAGTAGCCTGGGCACACCCTGTAGCACCCCTCCCTCTCCTGCCCCAACTACCCACTGGACAAAGCCTAAGAGCCTATACCCAGAGCCTTGTACTCAGAGGTGCCTCACCTGCCTGTGATTCTACTCATGATCCAATGTGGCAAGAGTCTGGGTTTGAGGTGTTTAAAACCCTAAGTGTGGGGGTGGGGAGAGAACAAAAGGAGAGCTGTTTTTCCTTTAAAAACAACGAGAAAAACCCTTTGTGGACCATGGATGTAGATATTTTCAGACATTGTAATCCAGGGATATCAGGATATAGACGATAGAGAGGGTTACACCTTAGGCTGCTAACCCCAAAGCCAGCAGTTCGAAACCACTGGATGCTCTGCACATGAGGCTTTGTGCTTCTGTAAAGCGTTACAGTCTGGGAAACCCATGGGCAGTTCTACTTTGTCCTAAGGGGTTCTTATGAGTAGAAATTGACTTGATAGCAATGAGTTTGAGGTTTTGTTTTTTTTTAAATGCCATACCTACATATATAGATGAGGAGGCTTCAAAAAGTTGGTGGGAAATGTTTCTTATCATTTAATTCCATTTCCCCACAAACTTCATCAAGCGCCTCCTATATAAAAGTTGATCTCTCTAAAGGTTCTTCCCTGGCAATTTCTTTTAAAACCAAGATGTATGGAATGACTGGAAGGGAGGCTTTGCAGAGGGTGCAGGAAACTAGCCAGGAACAAGCTCGGTTTAAACTTCAGACGCTGCTCCAGTGGTAACCAGAGGCCCTGGACAAGCCTCCGTTTGTTCTTTCGGCTGTAAATATGGAAAATCGTGTTATATCCGCATTTGCAGGCCGGTCGGTGCACAGGGATGTTGAAAGGATAAAGCGTGAAATGGAAAGGTGGAAAGTGTTCGCTGGCTCCCCTCAACTTGAAACAAGCATTCTGCAGCCGTTGGCACTTCGGGGGCTGGCAGGGGGGTCATTTTGTCGCTTGAACCACACCTGGAAAATGAGCAGCTGTCTAAAGCAGCGGGCCTCCAGCTTTAACGGGCACCAGCATAACCTCAAGGGTTTGAAGCAGCAGCTCAAAAGACTGCTTGCTGGGACCCATCTGGAGAAGCGCATAAGCACTGGTTGCTGACCTTTTCAACCAGAAGGTAGAAGGTCCCAACCCAGCCCTGCTGGAGGGTCTGCTGCTAAAGATCACAGCGCTGGAAACCCTCTGGGGCAGTTCTGTGTTGTCCGTAGGGTCACTATGAGTCTGGTTCACCTGAAACCGGTGTGGTTTTGCTTTCAGTCACAGGGTGCTTTTTTTGTTTGTTTGTTTGTTTGTTGTTTTTGAATGCAGTTTCTGGGGCAGGGTACCACATTTATAATTTAGCAAGCGCCAGGTCCTGCTGGCACAGTTGGTGGGCACTGTGTGAACCCCTGGCTGAGGGTTTCCCGGAGAGGTTCCCGTGCAGGGCTAGGACTCCAGCTAGGCCTCTTCGACTTCGGCTGCGCTCATTTCTCTAGTGCGGCCTCTCAAGACACCCAGGGGGCCACGAAGCCCCCTCCAACTTGGTTATCAAGCTGTTCAGACAGGGCCTTTGCAGTGCTCATTATTTCAAAGGATTCCTCCCATCTGGCAGATGCCAGCAAGATCCAGTTCTTGTCGTGCAGTCACGGGGCCCTTGGTGGCCCAAGGCTCGCCCAGCCCGCCCCCGTCCCAGTCCCCTGCTCGCTCGCCCACTCCTGTCGCTCCGCTCTCGAGGGCGGGGCGCTGGGCGGAGCGAGCGCTGAGCGGCCTGCAGGGCCCGGTCCCCGGTCAGCTGACACCGAGCGGCTGGCCCCGGCGCCCACTGCAGATCCCAAGGTCGGCGGGCGATCATGCTGCGGCTTCGGCTTCCCACCGTCTCTCTGCTGCTGGGGCCGCTGCTGGGGCCGCTGCTGGCGGGCCCGGCGCACGGCTTGCATGTAAGTCCGCGGGCCCCGCGCGCCTGGTCCACGGACCGGGGACTTGCTGCCGGGAGCCGAGCTGGGGCTGGCCAGCCGGGGTCGCGGGGCCGGGAGCAGGGGACCCTGAAAGGCACTCCGGCAGGCAGGCGGGCACCTGGCGCGCACGCGGAACACCGGACCTCCCATCTGGGGTGCGCCGGCCGGGCGGGGCGCGCCTCCTCCGTCGCGCGTGTGCTGGGTTCCGCCTCGCTCGTCCTTTCGTTCGGATCCATTGCCAATCCCGGAAACTGGGGGCTGAAATAAGGTGCGCCCCAAACCTTGCCGGACTTGAAGTTTGGGGGTAGGGGGTTCCAAGTTGGGGCGCCCTCCCGGGTGCAATTCGTTCTCCGCGGGGCGCTCCGGAAGGGGAAAACTGGGGTCAAGAGAGGCTCCCCCCCGCACCCCGCAATGGGAGCCCCGAGTTCGTTTTCTTCGAGGATGCGCGCCCTCTCAGGCGTTCCCCTGTTGGTGGTTCCCCCCACCTGCTTTGTTACGGGGATCTCTCGTCCCTTTCGCGTGCCTTTCTTTTGGGGGTTGGCGGTCCAGGTGGAGGGTGGGCAGAAGGGTGCGTGCAGGCCGAAGTTTGCCCAGGCGAGGTGCAGCTCCGGGCGCGCACTTTGGCTGGAAAGGCCCCTGAGGACACTCTTCCTTGCTGTCAGGGGCCGGCTGTTCCAGCAGGGCCGAGGGTGGCCTCTGCACCGCGGCCTGGAGGTCAGATCCCAACCCGGGAGTGGGGAGGCGGGTAGTGAAGCAGCTACCTGTTCAGCAAACCTCCTGGGGCGCCTGCAGGTGCTGGTGCGTGGAGTCTGGCATGTGTTTTAGTAGGTGGCGGAGGAGGAAGCCCCTTAATAACCTTGGAGGAAAGCTTTTTCAGTAATGCCCCCAGGGCAGAGAAAAAGCCGTCCATCAAACTAAAACCGTGGTTACAAAGCTTAAACCTTTGGGAAACAGCTCTCAAAAAGTTTTCATTTGGGGAAACGGTTACTTCCAGTGATACGCTCTTGCTTCTTCTCTGCAGGAGAAAGAAAGAAAACGAGGCTTTCTACTCCTGTCAAGGTTTGCAGCCTTAGAAACCCACGGGGCAGTTCGACCCTGCCCTGGAGTGTGACCTTGGGTGGAGTTGGACTGATGGCAATTAGGTGTTGAGTGTTTAGAGGCAGGCGTCTTGTTGTAGGCGCAGTGGCTAAAGTGCTGTTCACCACAAAAGGCCAGTGGTTTGAACCAACCTGCTGCTCCAGAGGAGCAAAATAAGACAATCTGCTTCTGAGATTGACTCCAGGGCAGGGGTTTGGGTTTGGACTGAATGGTTTAGGGATCTTGTCTGAGAGGGTTGGAGGACTCCTGGGCTTGGAGGTGAAGGCTAGTGAGGGTGGGGTTGGGGGACAAAGTTCACAGGAACAGTGGCAGGGTAGGCGGAGAAAGGCCTATATGCGGTGGAGCAGAGAGGGAGCGGAAGGATAAGATGGGAGGTCAGGGCTGGTCCACAGGGCGGCCACCTGGGGGATGGTTGCATGGTCATTTGTACACCAGCATTCAGCAGGGGGGTGCCCTGTGGCTGCCCTCCCACGACCCCAAAAGCCCACACAGATAGGCTGGCTGCCCCACTGGAAGGCTCATATCTTGTGGGTCTAGGTGTTCCTCATGAGCTGAAGAGAGGGGGTTTGTGGGTCTGGGCTAGCTTTGTCTTATTTCCTTGATTACATTTATTTGGACCAGCGTATCTCCAACTTAAACCATATAGAAAATGAAAACTGAGAACTTAAAAAAAAATCTGCTCATTTGTTTAAAAAATAGTAAGTCCATTATATGTTCACCGTAGTAGCACTTTTATTAAAATAACAATGTTTTCTACCAGACTTGGGTGGAGAGCAGCATCGTTTTACGTTTTCACAAATTGCCTTAACTCCTAGGGCAGCAGAACTCTGCCTTCAGTCTGTTGCCGTATCGAGTGTCAGGGAGCTTCTGGAAACGCTACTGTTCACCCAGGACACGAGACGGGAAAGGAAGCAATGGCCCAGCCTTATTTGGAAGCAGTTTTAACTTCATGACCTTTCCACTCCCCTAACTCCCTAAAGAGGGCATGTCCAGGGGGCCCCTGGCCCAAGGGCATGTCTAGGGGTCCCCTGGAGCACACTTTGAGAACGTGCCCTTAGTCACGAGTCTGGTTTGAGCAATTATTTGTGATGGAGCTGCCCGGCCTTGTGGCAAAACAAAAACAGAGAACACTGTAGGTAAGAAAATGAACCATCAGCTATGCTATCGCAATCTTGAGTGTATGTGTTTGGGTAGTAATTTGCAACTCACTGGTATTTGAGCTGCTTGGATCTAGGTGGGCTGGAAAGACCTTGAGGTTTTGAATGGGGACAAGGACTCTCTAGTATCCCACAAAGCTGATGCTGGTTCCTGGTTACAGGCGGAGTTGACCTGGAAACCTCTTCTTGGCCACTGTCCTGTCTAAAGAACTCACCTTCCAGAGCCCACCTGCACAGAACTGGTGGGGGACCCTCCTAGGAGCTGAGAAAATGGTGACCTTCAGGCAGCTGCCCCTGGGTGTGAAGGCCGCCCTGGCTGCTGGTACTGTCTTCATGTCCATGATCGTCTCCCGCACCTACCTGGCAGGGAGCCTGGAGCTCAGGTCCTGGAGGTGGGTGTTCCGCCTGCAGCTTGCCTTGTTCGTCAACTCGCTCATGCTCATCGGCTCCCTGTACATCTGGCGTAGCACCGTGAGCAACCTCGGCCCCTCCCCAGCTGCAGTGTCGGCCTGGTTTTGGCTTTGGAAGATGGCTGTGGTGGTGTTTCTCGGCCTGGCCCACTCCAGTTCCTTCACAATGCTCTTTCTGGTGGCAGAAGAACCCTATCTCTTCTCCTTGGCAGCCTACTCCTGTCTGGGGGCTTACATCATCATGGTCTTCTTCCTCTGTATCCTCAGTGGCACAGAGCAGGTCTGCCAGCTCTTGGCCTGGCGCAGTGGCAGGGTTGTGGGCAGCCTGGACAAGACCAGGAAACTGGCCCTCCGGCCTGCCCTGGCAGTGGTGGTGACTGCTGTGCTCAGTGTGGTTGGGCTTCTGAATGCTGCCCAGCCTCCAGTCGTGAAAACAGTGGAGGTGCCCATCCACCAGCTGCCTCCCTCCATGGACAACCTCAAGATCGCCCTCCTCTCGGACATCCACTTGGGCCCCACGGTAGGGAGGACTAAGATGGAGCTGTTCGTCAAGATGGTGAATAAACTGGAACCCGATATCACAGTGATCGTGGGTGACCTGTCCGATTCGGAGGCGTCGATCCTGCGGACAGCCGTTGCCCCCTTGGGCCAGCTTCGCTCCCGCCTCGGGACCTACTTCGTCACTGGAAATCATGAGTATTACACATCAGACGTCAGCAACTGGTTCACGCTGCTGGAATCCCTGCACGTGCGGCCCCTGCACAATGACAATGTGAAAATAGCTGCAGCAGGGGCCCAGCGCGGTGGTGGTGAAGATGGAGCCTGGATCTGCTTGGCTGGCGTGGATGACATTGAAGCGGATATCTTGCACTACTCTGGCCACGGCATGGATCTCATCAAGGCCCTGGAGGGCTGCAGCCCAGACCACGCCACCATCTTGCTCGCTCACCAGCCCCTGGCTGCCAAGAGAGCCCTCCAGGAACGGCCAGAAATTAATCTGATCCTTTCAGGGCACACCCACGCTGGGCAAATCTTCCCCTTGAACGTGGCAGCCTATCTCCTGAACCCTTTCTTTGCTGGTCTCTACCGCGTGGCCCAGACAACATTTGTCTATGTCAGCCCGGGCACGGCTTACTATGGGATTCCAATGAGGTTGGGTAGCCGGGCGGAGATTACGGAGCTCATCCTGAGGGCTCCCTGAGCACAGCCCTGCCCTTGCCCTTGGCCCTCTCTTCCCCACTGCCCAGTGGTTTCCCAGCTTGATCTCCTCTCCTGCCCAGTCCTGCCAACATACCCTTGGTCACAAGCCTGTCCTGAACAATCATCCGTCATGGAACAGCCTGACAAGTTCAGGTTAACTCTTTAGATGGCCAGTTGATTGGCCATTGTGGTCACCTATGTAAGAGCGGGTATTTCCGGAGAGTATGGGGTGGGACGCTCCTCCCATGCAGAGTTCCCAGAGAAGAATGGAATCTTGGGATTGCTCTCCAAGTGGAGTGGGGAAGCTGCAGGCATGGCTTCTGCTTGTTGTTTTAAATCATCTCTAGGACCAGGGCAGGCTTCTGGAATCACGGATCTAGAAATTCGCTTGGGAGGAAGCCGCGTTGCTAGGAAATTTGGGAGAGCAGGCAAGATGGAGGCCCCCTGTGTCTTCTGCGGAAGACTGGTTTCTCTTTCCCCGTCATCCCTATCAGAGCCGCCAACATTGAGACTATCAGCAAAACCCACACCCTGTGCATTCAAGCCTCCGAGTGTGGCTGTTTCTCGGGCTGTGCTCCTGGACCTTTGTGGGTGGGGGAAGTAGACAGAACTATGAGCAGCGTGGTGGTGTTGGTGGTAACAATCTTTGGGTGGGGGGGGGGGCTGGCTTTCCTCCCTCCTCTTGTTTTATACAACCCTTGGGTAACACAGTTGGAAACAGGCTGCTTTTCCCCCTTGGGAAGCGAAGACCCTCAGGCAGAGAGAGGAAGGGTGTTGGCAGAGGGACAAGTTAAGGAGGTGATTCGATGCCGGAAACTGGACCCTCTACCTCTCAATAAAAGTTCTTTCCACCAGGAGGTTTCCGTAGCTGTATCTGTCCAGGGACACGTAGGATGAACCAGGGCACCGTCAAGACCCTCTAGCATGGCATGTTTTTTCCAAATGATTTCACCTTACCTGTAACTGCACGGAATCGTGCCTGGGGAGGGAGTTGGCTCATTTCCGTTCGGGGAGTCTGTTAGATTTGGAACCCTGTCCCCAGGTTTGTGTCTGAGCGCTTGAGAGAAGGGGGAAGGCAAGGCGTGGATGGGAGTGGGCGGCTTCGGGTCTCACACACGGCTTTCCTCATGTTTGTGGCATGCTGGGATTGCCTTTCCTGTTGGGCAGCTTCCACGCCACCTACCTAATTCCTCAAGATCTGGCCTTCGATCGGGTCACCTCGCCGCCCCCAGCTAATTTCCTTTGATGGAGAATCGCCAACAGGGAACAAAGACACCTGCTTTGAGGGCAGAGACGGATCCTTATCACTCTTGGGTCAGGCAGCATTGGGCAAGTGACTTGACCTTGATGCGCCTCAGTTTTCCTGAACTGCGACATGGGCTCAGTTGTATCTCCATGAAAATGGTTTCCTCGAGAGGGTACTAAGAGATGGTGCTTGAGTTGCAGGTAGCTCAGGGCACACAGTACGTGCTCCAATGTTCCTTTTCAATTGTTACCTCTGGGCTTTCTGAGGAAGGGTTCCCTGTGAGTCTTAGACACAGGTGCCCAGAGAATGTCAGAGGAGTCAATCTGGGGAATGTGAGTGGGCAGCTGCCACCTGGATTTATTGATGCAGCTGCTGCTGGAGTTTGCTCTGCTCTGCCTGTGGCCATGTCTCCTTGTGTGTGCCCTGCCTGGCCCAAGGGAGAGTCTATATATTCCTCATCCTCCTGGTGGTGATGGGGTAGCCAAGGGAGCTTGGACACTACTTCTCCTTGTTCTCTGAAGCCTGGGTATTTGATAGCTGGGCATACGGTCAGGATGGAAAATGTGTTCCTGAGTTGAGATTCTGGTGGTTTCCTCACCTCTCTCCCTTGTGTCTATTTCCCTACAGGCAGGAATGTTCTGGAGAGAAGGGGCCAGGGAAGGGGCTTGGCGAGCTTTTCATTTAGCACACTTTGCAGATAAGATTGTAGGTGAGGTGGAGTGCCTTACCCAAATTGGTGGACCTGCACTCCACTTCCTTGGCTCCAGGGCCCCTGTCTCCATGCGCCACATGCTGCCCCCCACCCCTCTCTGCCTCTCTGGAAGCCTGCTCTTCCAAATATTCTTTTTCAGTGGTTCGACCCAATTGGTTGGATCGTTTTTACCAGCTTTTCTGTTGTCTTTTGTGTTGGGTTTCCCCAGACTAGGTAGATTTGATAGGGAGACCCCGCTGTGCTGGCAGGTAGGTCTGGGTCTATACACTGCATGCTCGGTGGGTGAAACCCACCAGCAGCTCTGATCCTGCCAGGATCTACAGCTTTGAAAACCGTATCCGGGGTCTATATGAGTTGGAATTGACTTGTGGGCCGTCATTTTGGGTTGGGGTTGGGGAGGACCTGAGTTGAGCAGACCCAGCCCTGCCTCAATGGAGAGGGGGGGAGCTGACTCAACCTGATACGGCACTTGTTTCACGAGTTTATGACTTTGATCATTCTCATCAAAGCCCTGAGCTTGATGAAATTAGTTTTCATAAACTCTTATTTTTAAATCTTAGTTTTCTTTTTTTGGGGGGGGATGTCATTTGGTGGTCCAAAGGCCTTACTGGGTGGATTGTTCTTTGTTAACAGAAATAAAACCTGTGTCCAAGAAGTAGCTGTCAATACTTTGCATACTTGGTTTGTATTCCCAGACCTGGTAGAACTTTTTCCAGC